AAGAGAGCATCCCATTTTAAAAAACCAGTAGGAACAATACACTTACTCTTAATTAATATATTATACACGGTCTTAGATGTGAACTTATCAAATTTGAGTTCCTCACCATTGATTATGCAGATCGGCTCTGGGGCACATTTTGAAGTATATTCTTCTGTATTAATAATTTGTAACCAATCGTGAGGAATTGCAGATTGAATAATGTCTAACATCTTGGCAATATAATCTAATGTACATTCCGATTCATTAAAATCATCTACAATAACACCTAATAGTAAAAATCCTGGAATTACATAGTAAATTATATCAAATATTGTCTTGATACCATAACTACTAAATAGTTTACATTTAATTGGTTTATTTTCGTGTTTTATTAAAGGATTATCAAACAAAGGCTGTAGTGAAACATCATATAGATTATTTGGGGGAGGTCGGCAATCGTTAGTTAATAAATTCCAAGCATTGAATAAAAGTTGATAGAAGGGAGGGAACTCTTTTATCATATGCCTACTAGTAGTAACTTTAAGTAGGTCTGTAGCTTGACTTTTAGCATACTTTAACGTGTAATAATTCAGGACTGACTTCCAGATTGAGAAAAAATCTATGCTGCAAACATTCTTGAGTACTTTCAGTCCAAATGCATTAGATTTCAACTTAATATCTGGTAAGCCTAAACCACCATTTGATTTACTATTTATTACACTAGAATATTTTATTTGAGCTTGCTTATTGTCCCAAATAAAATTAGTAAATAGGGTTTGAATCCTATCAGCTATCCCATTAGGTATACATAAAACAGTAAGAATATGATATAATTGTGTGACTAAAAGAGATTGGATAACAGTGACTTTACCTACAAGAGTTAAATTTCTGGTCTTCCACATATTAAGAATACATTGTATTTTACTTATTTTTGGGTTCCAATTTAATTCGTCACATAATGCTGCATTATTACCTAAATGCACACCTAAGATTTTAATATGATCAACTTGCTTAATATTTCATTCTGTACTTTACCAAGAGAAAGGATCTGACTTTTATCCACATTAATTTTTGCACCTGATGCTTTACAATACGGTTCTATAATCTTAAAAACATTATTAACAGAATCTAAATTAGAAAAGGTAAAATTAGTATCGTCAGCATATTGGAATATAATGGATGTGACATTACTAAACTTTATAGGGATGCCCTTCAGAGGGGATAATTTAACAAGGGTATTTAAGGGTTGTGCACATAAAACATATAACATGGAACTCATGGGGTCACCTTGTCTTATGCTCCGGGTAATGGGAAAGAAGGGTGATAAATGACCATTACACTTAACAGTACTAAAAATACCTGTATATAAAATTGTTATCCAAGTAGTAAAATAAAAACCAAATCCAAAACTCTTTAAAATATGAAATAAATATTTATGTGATAAAACATCGTAGGCTTTCCACATATCTAAAGATAACAGATATCCTTCAACATCTTCACTGTTGGTGTAATCAATAATGTCCCTAAGGGAATGTATATTGTCAAAAATGCTGCGCCCAGGAACTGCACAGGTCTGTTCGGGTGAGACTAACGAATGCATAACCTTCCTAAGTCTACCAGCAAGGACTCTTGACACTAATTTATAGTCATTTTGAAGTAAGGAAATCGGTCTAAAGTTCTTCAGATCTCTTTTATCACCCTTTTCTTTATAAATTAGTGTCAGGATGCCCCTGCTCATAGACCTGGAAAGATTACGTTCAGAAAATATAAAATTAATAATATTTATGAACAAAGGGCCTAATTTGTTCCAGAATTTAAGATAAAATTCGACAGTGATACCATCTAGTCCGGGACTCTTCCCTGTCCTCATACTTAACAAGGTGTCAGAAAGTTCCGAAAGAGTAATAGGCTGATCACACATTTCTCGGTCACTCTCTGTCAACTTATCATCTATAAGGCTACACATATATTGGACACAGTTTTCGTAATCATTTTCATTAGGATCTATAGCATATAGATGTTCATAGAATTCAGTACATTGATCAAGAATTGTAGATGTGGAATTTAAGATAACACCATCACTGTTAATCAGTTCCTTAATACCGTTTTTATTTTGCCTATATTTCTCTAACTTAAGAAAATAACTTGTGTTTTTGTCGCCTTCAGTGGCATTGATTGCTTTGCTTCTCAGGATTGCTCCCTTACATTTCTCGTTCTCAAAGTCTTTCAGTTGATTTTCCAATTCTGTCAGTAAAACAGTACTATGTTTCGGATTATTCGCAATCTTTGTATATTCTCTCTGCAAACTATTTTGGATTTGATAAATTTTAGCATATTTCTCTTTGCTTATTTTACGGGAGTAATCCTGAGAAGTTCTTTTAATTTTATATTTAAAGTTATCCCACCATACAAGAGGATTACTACATAACAGCTCACTCTTGCTTTCAATATCAATCAAATTATTCATAATATCAATATACTTACAGTCATGTAAAAGGGTATTATTCAAAATATAAACTCCTGGTCCTTTATCACAATTATTAAAATCTATACATAGTTTCACAATATTATGATCTGAAAAAGTAGTATTAATTATATTAGAATTTATAACATTACATAGTAGGGATCTAGAAATTAATATATGATCGATACGACTCATTTTCACTTGTCCTTGAACGGTAGACTTTCTAGTAAATAGGCGTTTATCGGGGTTTCTGTATCTAAAGGTATCAACAAGACCATGACTAATGACAAAATTGTTCAATGCTAATGAACTTTCTCTTACAGTGGTCATACCTTTGCCTCTATCTAGATAATGATTAAAAACATCATTATAGTCTCCACACACAATGCACTCCCTACCCGAGTCGATGAATGTGCCAAGGGTTTGTAAAAAGGCAATTCTATCTCTGGAGTGGTTCGGGGCATAAATTGAAAGAATTGACAAGTTTCTATTATCTATCTCTAGATCAATTCTTACGATTCTACCTTCATTATCTAAAGACGTTGAGCTAACAGTCACTGAATTCAAAATATCTTTTCGGATTAAAATGGCAACACCTCTTGACGGAGTCACACTGTCATAATTGTTCGTAATTACTCTACCTTCCCATTTTCTATTAATTATTCCCATTAAATCAGCATCCCAGTAAGTCTCTTGTAAACACACAAAATGAACATTTAGGTCCAGCACTTTCTGAAACACCTTTTCGATCCTATCTATACTACGTAATTTGTTAGAGTTAAAAGTACAGAAATTGAATGTTATATATATATATATGAATGAGCAGACCCACTATCTTACTCAAAACATAGTTGTATATCAGCGATTATTAGAGCGCCCTCTCATCCTATTTTCACGATATTTCACAAGTTGTTCAATATTTTCTACGTTGGGCTTTTTAACAAGGATGTTTCTACGTGGTTTCACAATTGTAGATGGTGAGGGAGGTGGAGGAGTGGGGGGTGGAGGGTTTATAGTTTCAGTTTCACTCAATCTTTCATCTGCAGCCTTGATATGGAAGTTTTTTCGGGATACACATCTTGGGGGTGTCGAGGGCGGTAGGGGCGGGGGTGGAGGGGGTAGTGGTGTGTCTGCTTCGCAAGAATGTTGTTCACTTACAAGCACAGTGACTACATTTTCTACTTGGTTTTTCACAGTTGAGTTATCATCAACGCGAGTAGATTCTGAGATAGGGTTAATCATCTGAAACGTTTCGTCGTCTAATCTTAATTTCTTAGATTTTTGTTCATGGTCACTTGAGCAGTTCAAACTTGTAGATTTATCAACAGCATGAGTATTGGTCGAATTATTGAGAGTAGGGTTTTCTGATGAGAGTTCATTCACTGTGCTATTAATATCATCTTCCAAATAGTCCGAACACACGCACTCTATTTCCAAATTTTTGCATATATTAC